TAACTAGAGTTATGATGCAAGAATTTGTAAAAATATCATTTAAATATAAATTGGCATAAATATAAAATATATAAATTCTACATACATGAAAACTTGAATACAGTGCAACAATATGTGAAAAAGGAATGAATAAAAAGGGAACTCAAAATCCCAAGATATGAATATAAGGGAGTTCGAATTTTTTTGTTAATTATGAAAAGTTTGCAGACGCTCATAATTATCAATTTATTAATTAAATGTGTATTATAAATTAAATGTATGCCAAAGTACACCAGGTAGAGTAACCGGAAAACGGAATAAATATTTAAACGTTTCTAGTATTAAAATATGGACTTAGTAAGAAAGTTAAATAACCTTAAAATAACTTCAATGACTAAAAATGGAAAGCTTAATACGGCAATATATTGCAATAATATTAGTGTGAATTTCGAACCACTTAAGTAATCCAATTTTTAGATTTAATAAAGTGAATTGTTTAAATTAAATTAGACCTGTTTACCTAAAATGGTAAATTTGAAAGTTTAAACCAATCTGCTATCTAAGAAGATTTGTTAATATTTATCTAGACAAGAAACTTATTTAAGGTGCGCTACAAATCCGATATTTTGATAGGTTAATTATGTATCAGTTTTGTTTATGTCATTAATCTATCAATTTTATTATTCAAAACTGATATATATATCAGCGACTAAAATCTACAACTTGGAAAGTTTTTAATTCTTACAGAGAATAAAAAAGATCTGGTTCATCATTCTTTTAAGCATCATAAATCTTTAAAATGAGTGTAAAAAAAATTAATTTTTACTTTAGCACACGCCAGACTTTAAATTAATATTTGTTTTGTGTGCTAAATTTTTTGCAATATTGATAAACGAAATTAGAGGCTTACAGTCTCAATAAAATGTCCCATTAATGGCGATAGATGACTTTTTGGTAGCATCCAATCTTCTTGGGAATTCAAGTTCTTAGAAAGAGGAACCAGGAAAAAGTCGCCCAGTTCGTCTATTAGATATATATCAAATTTCGCGTTCGTACCCCCTACCGGAAAAACTTCTTTTCTTTTTCCTTCCTCCTTAATACTGTTAAAAATGTATTTGCATATATCATTTTACTTTGTCGTATATGTAGGTATTATAAATGTAACTAAAAATTTCCGCAGAACTTAATATCTCAAATTGGACGCACGTATGAAAGCACTCAGGTGAGGCGAACAATAATAAATGAAGTAATAAATAATTCAAATAAATAAAATGTAGAGATAAAAAAGATTAAATTAAAATAATAAATTATAACATTATAAGAATTAAATGAAATTATAAAACAAATAGAACGTGAATAAATTAAAGGTAAAGTGTAACTAAAATTGAATGAAATAATATAACAAATGTAAAGGGAGCAAATTAATAGTGACAGATTATGGTAACGAAAAACAAAAGAAAGTTCACTGTTCTGAACAATATTTTTCGCGGTCGAATAAAACTGCATATTTATTTTGGCTACTACTCTACAGCTTCTTTAAGAACCTTCTTGACTAGATGGGTACAGCCCATAAAAAATCTTTCCTCTTCGTGAGATCACATTTTGACATGGTAGATTTTTCCTCATTTAACTGCTGAAATATTCAGGCATATTTTTGCCCTTCCTAAGGTAAGTGAGACAGAGATTTTGTATCTAATATCAATATCAGTTTTATTAATTGCTAAAGAAAATATTGCAGTAATATCATATTGCAATTTAGCTGTACAACAAAATACCGCAGCTCATCTTATTTGGGGGCTTATTCTTGCTAATGTATGTCAATTTCTCTTAATAGGTGAAACTAGTAAAAATTGTTTTACTATTGAAAACTTAACTTAAGTGTGTGTGGGATTATGATAAAGCCTCGAGGGCTATCTGCCTAAGAGGAGGGATGCCTTCGTGGAGGACTTTCTAAGAGAAACTAACTAAGAGAATACGCGTTACATATGGGGAAAACCACGAAAACGCCCATGCAGCCAGCCCGTTCGCGGGATTCGAACTTCGGACCGAACTACCAGTGTTCAGCGACTTTACCGCTCTGCCGCTGGTAGCCACAACTTAAGAGTATTTAAAAAAATTATTGCAATAAAAAAATGGGTAAATGAACAAAAACTCTGAGCACTAATAACATTTAAAATAAAATTGTCATCAGGCCTAGTTTCAGCAACGCTGGGAGATCAGTACAATTGGCACCCGTTACAAGCTAAACAATAATAATTCAGAGCGGAATGTAATCGATTACGAAGACAAACTGGTGACCTCCGAAAATCGCTACCCTAGGCGGCTGTTTGTATCTGCTACGCTGGCCCTTATTGCCTTACATTCCTTCCATTCTCATTATGTAAATATATTTAATTCTATTCTTAAAATATATTTTGCTTATAAATTTTTTTAGTTTACTCTTTTGAATTCAAACAGTTCGATGCAAATTTTGCGTCACGACTGACCAATTATTGAAACAAATGTACTACTTGTCTACACAATGTGGTGATGATTATTGTGCCAAATTTCCCAGGTTGTGTCTAGCAGCTATGGAATGCCAACAGTTGCTGATTTTGCTCCAGAACTTTGATATGGAATTGAGGTTTAGTATGGAATTGCTACAAATTAAATACTGCACAAGTTTCTGCAAATTAAATTCTGGATTTTAAAGAAATTCTGTACATCTTTTCCGTCAGGTTGAGTTAGAGCTGTTTTCTGTTTTTCATGTTCAAAATTTACTTCATATTGTGTTCAATGCATTCAGTAACGTGGGGGGGGGGGAAATCATTTTGCAACCCTGTGCAATTTCAAATAGATAATCCGGCATCTCGTAAAATCCTGAACAGGCCGTATTATCGGACTTTTGCTATATACTGACTGACATTCGCTGGTCTAGTAACCTTAGTGAAATAATGTAAGCGAAATTAAACATCTCTGTGTATTAAAATTTTATTTTTTAAAATTTTATGTGTGTATGCATATTGTTTAAGTGTTGTACGCATATTGTTTTGAACAGTCCCCCTCAAAAAAAAAAAAAGCTCTGTTACATAATATTAATTATTAATCCCTTCCTAGGTCTAAAAAGGTGAATTTTTTTAAAGTATTTTTCTTTTCCTACCGAGACTTACCGTTCTTTCACGGTTTAAACAAGAGTTAGTTCTTTTTATAATTCATAGATGGCAGCACTGGATTACTGAATTTCCTTGATTCCTGTCCGCTTTTTGACCAAGGACCAAGGCATTTGGTTACGGATTGATTACCTTTGCAAAAATAATTGCAATTACCTCCACATTATCATTAATAAAAATTGAAATAACTGAGAGAAAAGTAATCGCTAAAGGTAAAGGGAAGAGCAGTTAAGCTTCAAAAAGTCAAAAAGTCGCTAAGGAATCCTTATTATTAAGGACGCAGGCAGAGTACGAGCGTTGAACATAAAGGAAGGGCATTTAGCCCCTCCCCCCACCCCGTCATGAATCAACTGCAGGTAACTCAGGTACAAAAGGAGAGAGCAACCGGAACGCGAACAGCGTCTTTTTGATAACCCAAGTTCCGCACCGGAAAAAAGAGCTCTTTAATGAATGAATATATGGTTTGGTTTAAATTAAAAATACTCTATGTGTAATAAAAGGGTGAGACCTTACTTAATGTAACATTTAATAATTAAATGCTAAATTAAGAATTTTTTAATGCAGCTTTTCCTTTGTTATTTTTCCAATGCGTAACCCTCCCTTTTTAATGCCTAATAATATATAGTTCAATCATGTCAAATTCAGTCAAGTGAGCTGAATAGTTTCCTGTGTACTATAATGGGGACTGCAAGGGGAAAATTCATACTTAAAGCGATGCATTAAAAACTGAATAAATACATAAAATATGACACAGTGGATCTAAATAGAAGGAATATACGGAAAGATGGATCTCTGTCGTTTCTTTCTTTGCACACCTGGCCTGTCTAGAAACATGTTGCTAACATTAGCGATTTTAAGAAAGAGATAACGTCAGTAAACCTTTATCTCCTTGAATCTCATTCCTTTTCAAAAGTAAAAAATGTTGTTCCCACGAATATAGAAATCTCGCGGAAAACAAATTTGCGGCTTTCTGAGGACAGTGCAGGCAAGTTTGTATACTTGCAATCAAATATTTTTAAAATTTAGGGGTTCCAACGTAGTGGCAGCATAATTTAACTGTAAATTATGCTGCCACTACGTTGTGAATTATGCTGCCACTACGCAATTCTTAACAGTTACAAAAATTAACAGATTGTTAATTTTTGTAACTGTTAAGAATTGCTGAGTGGCTGCATAATTTAATTCCTTTTCGCAACTATTGAGATTTGTCGAGTGGCAACTTCTATGAAAAGTTTGTTCTTACCAGTTAGCGTTCCATTATTATTGCTTCGGAAATCTTATTCTTTAAAATAACCTATGCTTTATTTTTATTAAAAAATAGTAATATTTATGAAATATGAGAACTTTAATTTTTAATTGCTAATTTCTAAAGGTACCACTTTATTGGTATTTCTTTTTGGACATTCTTCACTCTTTACTTTTGGTTTTGACTTTTACCCTTGCCTGCATGAATGACGAAACACGAATTGAATGATTGAAGACTTAGGTTTGAAGGCAACTTCCCCTTGATAAGTCTGTCTCCTGCCTGCTCAACAGTCATTCACTTATGCATTTTTAAAAAATTTTTTAGATTAATTTTAATTTGTTAAATTGGTGAATTTATTTTCATGGTTTGGTTTTGCACTTGATTTACTTATGCTATTTGAATTTAAATGATATTGTAGATTAGTTCAAAAATTAAATCTTTTATATGTTTGCACATTTTTTAATTATTTTAACTTTAAATTTGCTTTTTTACGTATTTACATGTTTGTTAAAATTTAAATTTGTTTAAATTTAAAGATGTATATATAAAGATGAATATGCTGTTTTAAAGCTTAAGCAATATTTCTTTTAATTATAAAGTCTTAGATGTATTGTTTCTTTCAGTACGTTTTGTTCTCATACACCCAAATAACGTCATTTTGTCTTTATGAATTTTGGATTGCAAAATGCATCAGCTACTTTTTAAAGATTTATACATGAAGTATTTCAAGATTTGGGCTTTACTTTGACATACTATTGATGATATATTCTATTTTACTAAAGATGACATTAGTTGCATCTTTCTCAGCAGAAGAACGCGAACATCACTTGAAGCATGTTTTCGATAGATCAGATAAATACAGTTTGAGAATCGATATTTTAAAGTCGATCATGGGTATTGATGAATTGCAATTTTTAGGATATCATATAATACGGGATGGATCTCGGCCTGTATCAGAAAAAGTCGAAGCAATATTGAACTATAAATTACCAGAGAATATCCATGAAATGCGAACCTTCCTAGGGATGCTTAGTTTGTACCAACCATTCCTGAAAGATACTGCTAGAACACAAGTCTTCATGAACTTCTACTTGTTTTCAGGTATCTAGAAATAGAAATTAATCCCATTATGTTTGAAAGCTACATGGGAATAGACAAATAGCGAATTCAGAAATCGAAACGCCAATCTCTACAAGCAACAAAGTTACCCAGAAAAAAAGCTAAAAGAAAGTAAAAAGTTAAATATGAAGCAAAAGGGATCATAACATATAAAATATGGCGAGTTTTATTCTTTTGCCTATGGAACACAGGTAAGTATGTTATTTATATACTGTATAAAGATTATTGAAGTATATTCATTAGAATATATTATAAGGGATGTGGCGTAAATGAAATATTTCACTAAAATTTTTCTAAATATTGTCTATATTTAAAAAATTAATGAACATTTCTGTAAAATCCTATTTAAATTCATAGTTTTATATCCCGTCTTACTCAAAAACATGTGTGTTTAATTAAAATTTTACGTATTTTTACAGAAGTGCTTCGTATGGAGGTACATACCTTAAGCTATCCCAGTTCAGATTTGCCTTGGTCACTGTGTACGGATGCATCTTATTGGTGCAGCCCTCAAACAAAGTAAAGAATGGGAACTTATAGCATTTTATTTAAAAAAAAAAAAAATTAAGTTACGCTTAGAAAAATTACAGTGCTTATGACCGCGAGTTATCGAGAAAATATATTTTGCAATTAAGCATTTTAAGCAGATATTAGAAGGACGCGATTTAAAATTTTTTACTGACTATAAACCACTAGTATTTGTTTTCAGGCAAAAGAGTGAAAAAGCATCACCAGGACAAATGCAATAACTGTAATATATATATCAAGTTTCTACTAATATATGCCACATTAGCGGAAGTGAAAATATTGTTGCAGATCAGCTATCAAGAATAGTCGATATCTCTATTTTCTTCATTGATTATGATAAAATTGCAGATAACTAAGTCATTGATAAAGAATTACAAAATTTACGAACCATTAAATTTCAAAAATTACTTCCATCCGTAAAAAATTTGTGGTGTGATAAGTCTTCTAACATCAGACCATTTATACCCAGACGTTTCGAATGGATATATTTCAAAAAATACAAGGCCCCGCTCATCCAGGAATAAAATCGATTGCTAAAGAAATGACATACAAATCTATCAAGCTAAATATAAAAAAGGATATACAAATATAGAACCATGCTTGTATTTGTTGTCAAAAAAATAAGGTCTCAAGACATATAAAATCTGAATTGGGAACTTATCAACAACCTGATGAACGTTTTAGTACAAGGTTGTTCAATAAGTTCGTGGAGCGCCATCTATTCGTCAATATTAGACCTAAAACTTCGACCATTTTCATATTTGTTCTTTCTCAGGAACACGTCAAAAGCTTCATTTCGATCTGTTAATTTATTCATTGTTTAACCGCCCTTTATATCTGACATGTTGTGCCTTTTTTCAGGTATGGATAAAATTGAGCAACGTGCAGTTATCAAATTCTTTGTAAAGAAAGGTTTAAAGGAAATGGAAATTCATACCGAAATGGTGAGTGTGTTGGGTGAATCTGCTTCTTCAAAAACAATGATTTGCAAGTGGGCTAGTTTATTCAAAAGTGATCGTACCAGCCTTGAAGACGATCCGCGAGAGGGACGTCCGAAAACTGCATCAACACCGGAAATCATCGGAAAAATACAAGATATGGTATTGGAAGACCGTTGATTGACTGAAAGAGATTTAACAGAGGCTTTAGGCATTTCATTGGGCACAGTGAGCAATATTTTGAGTGTTAATTTGGGTTTCAAAAAACTCTGTGCAAAATGGGTGCCGCATTCTCTAACGATGGAGCAAAAACACATTCGGATGCGACTTTGCCAGCAACATTTGGAGCGTTTTAAGAAGAATAAAAGCGACTTTATCCGTCGATTTATCACAATGGATGAGACTTGTGTCTACCATCATGATCCTGAATCAAAACAGGAGGCTAAGGAGTGGTGTGAACCCGGCTTTTCGGCGCCAAAGCGAATTCGTGTGCAAAAATCAGCCAAGAAGGTGTTAGCATCAGTTTTTTTTGGGATACGAAAGGAATTTTGTTTATAGATTACCTTCAAACTGGCAAAACAATTAATTTGGATTGTTATTATAACCTTCTGAATCAATTAGACGAAAAAATTCGTGAAAGAAGACCCGGATTACAGAAGAAGAAAATCAGTTTCCACCAAGATAACGCACCTGCGCACACAGCTCAAAAAACCATTGCTAAAATAACTGAACTGAAGTACGAATTGTTGCAACATCCAGCCTATTCGCCAGATTTAGCTCCCTCTGACTTCTGGCTCTTCCCACACCTCAAACAATATCTCCGTAGAAAACGATTTTTTTCAAACGAAGAGGTAATAGCTGTCGTGAAGGGATATTTTGCAGAGCTGCCGAAAAACCACTACAGTCAAGAGATCCATAAATTAGAAGACAGTTGAAATAAGTGTATTGAAGTTGAGGGAAACTACGTTGAAAAATACATTTTTACAAATAAAAATTGGTTTCTTCTTTTCCGTTCTGCGAACTTATTGAACAACCTGGTATAGTCCACCTTTACTTAATAAGTTTCTTTTTCACCATCTGATAATTTTTTATATTGTTTGACTTCATTGATCGTTGTATTGGTTGGATGGAACCATTCCTTTACGTGACATAACAGCAGAGACCGTTGTAAAAGGTTCTTTATGAAAATTAGGTCAACCGTTTTGTAGTTCCGTACCAAGTTATTAAGGAACGTGGAGCACAATTTACTTCTGAACTCTTTCGAACCTTGGCAATTATATGTGAAGTCAAAATTCAAGGGCAAACGGGCTGGCTGCATGGGCGTTTTCGTGGTTTTCCCATGTGTAACGTGTATACGAGGCAGTTTCTCTTAGAAAGTCCTCCACAAAGGCACCCCCTTAGGCAGATAGCCCTAGTGTGCTCTGCCGTAATCTCAATAAAACAAACCAAAACCAAAATTCAAGGCACAACGTCGTATCATGCGTAGTCCAAAGGCAAAATTGAAAGATTTCATCGAACATTGAAAGCTACTATCAAATGCCATGATTCAATTAAGTCGTCTGAATCCATTCCAACAATCTTTTTAGGTCTTAGGGCAGCACTGAAAGAAGACTCTGTATACTCCATTGCACAAATGGTTTACGGGGGGGGGATTTCCTGGAGAATTTTTTGATAAGCCAGCTGCTCTCCACAACACTTCAAACATTTTTACATAAATCGCAAAAGTACACGAGAAATAGAGACTTAAGCTGTTCTTGATAACTGATCTGCAACAATATTTTTACTCCCTCTAATGTGGCATTATATTAGTCGAAAATTGATATATATATTGCAGTTGTCGCCTAAAGTAATTAAAAGAAACGAAAAATACTTCCTAATATAAATCAAAGGAAGTAAACATTTCGATTGACGGGATGAAGCCAGCTAGTTGTTTATCATCAAACGATCAAAGCCTGAAACTAGAGACTTCTAATACCCAGCTCATGACCGAAATCAAAACACTTTCTTAAAATCTGAGACAAATGACGAACGATCTCGAGTATCACGAACTGGACGACCAATAAAATGTATGCTTAAGTAAAGATGTAAAGTACTTTTCTTAAATAGTGTTGTGGGATGTGTTTAACTCAAATTGTACATATTTATTTATTTAGTATTTTTCTTCACTGTTGCTTAAATATACTGCAATAAAGCTATATAACGATGAATATACTGTTTTAAAGCTTAAGATGAAATATTTCTCATAAGTATAAAACTTCGGATGTGTTGTTTTGATTGAGTATTCTTTTTTATCGAACACCCGTACCCACTTCATAGAATTTCAGCTTTAGATTCGCAGTGAATTTGTAGCAAAATGGCTAGCACTTTCTCAATTTCTGCTAAAAGGGGGGGGGTATAAAATAAGGATTCCTCGATAGATCTGATATCGCGGAACTTTTGTATAAATTAAGTCTTCAGGCGCAGAACCTCTTCAGCACACGTATTATACAAAAAGACACTTTTTGAAATTAATTTGTACTTCCTACAAGTTGGGAAGTGTGTTAAGTCTTCGCTTTTTAACTGTTTCTCCTAAAAACGGTAAACTGCGTAAGAGTATTTTTGCCTGCTTATTCATGTTCATAATGACATGAATGTTTCATGTCATTACAGATCTAATATGTATTTCGTAATATCAACCACGAAAGAAAAATCTTGTAATCGCAAAGCATCCGTCAATAAATTGATGTCTCTAATTTCCAAAAGGTGGCAAATTTCATTCCTCTAGTTCTCCCCCCCCCGAAAAAAAACCTTTCCATAACTGTGAAGCAGGATAACCTGCTTATTTATGTACTATATATATATATATATATATATATGGCACACTCTTATTACATATATATATATATATATATGTAATAAGAGTGTGCCATTATTGTGAAAGGTGTCCGCCGATAACATCGCGGATAACATCGCCGATAACATCGCGGACGAAAACGTCGCGGAGAAAACAAAGCAAGGCGAAAACATCGTGATGAGAAAACATCGCGGTACAAAATATCGTCATCGAAAATAAAGCGGTTCAAAAACTTCGCAATTTAAAAATATCGTCGTCGAAAATATCGTGGTAAAAAATAAAGTATCTAGAAATCATCGCATGACGATAACATCGCAGCCTTACTTTTTCAGGTTTTAATAGTTGTAAACGGATATTTCCATAATGATTTGTGAGCGCAAGATGTAAAGAAGGATAATTTTTACTTTCACAATTTTTTATTAACTAATAAATTTTTGCTGAAAAAGTAAGAAGGAAACTTAAGCATAGAAAATTAAATGCAACTTATAGATTATACTTTTCATGAAAAATTACCAGTAAAAACTTTATAAGAAATGATTTATTAATGGCCTTTGTTAGTTAACTATGTCGCTTTAAAATTCTATTAAGTGCTATAAGTTGCATTAATTTTCTATGCTTAAGCATCCTTTTATTTTCTCAGCAAAAATTTATTGATCAATAAAAAATATGAAAGTAAAAATTATCCTTCTTTCCAAATTGCGCTCACAAATCATTACGGGAATATCCATTTACAATTATTAAAACCTGAAAAAGTATGTCTGCGATGATTTGTAGATACTTTATTTTTTACCACGATATTTTCGACGACGATGTTTTTAAACTGCGAAGTTTTTGAACCGCTTATTTTCGACAACGATGTTTTGTACTCCGATGTTTTAGAACTGCGATGTTTTCTCGTACTATGTTTTGTAGCACGACGTTTTCACCTTGCGTTGTTTTCTCCGCGACGTTTTCTTCTGCGATGTTTTCGGCTGTAACCTTGTGAAAAGACTGCAGCATTATTGTAATAAGATGACTTGGTGGAAAGTAAGTGGCAACGAATTGGCGGTAATTCTCGGCATTATAACTGCGTATTTAACAAGATGACACTCGAAGAAATCATTGTTAACGATAAATTCCACACATAATTTAATTTCTGGATAATGCTTATCATCACTATGGGTGCGCTATGCACCGCCTCCCCTTAATTTTACACATATTACATCTTTTTAATGGACGAAATTAGAGAAGTAAACTCTTCGTGGCTAGCGGTAAGGCGACACAAGCGGCTAGAAGCAGAAGTAAAGAGCGAAGAAGGAGGAGTTGCTACACAATTACCTTTTTATACCGAATTCCATTTCAAATCACATGAGAGAGATTAATGCTCAGATGTAGGAACTAGATTTCATCGATAAGTACATCGATAAGATTAGATGACGAATCTTTTTCTTTGATATTTCTCTGATATTTTTAGAATTCTTCTCTGATATTTTTAGAATGAAGACAGGAGTTAAAGGGCTATTATTAATTTATTATTTGAAAATTTTGAAAGATAGATATTTTATATTTTACATATTTATATGTAAAATTATAAAAAAGAGGAAAAGGCATAGCACCAATGTTGTTTGGCGAAGAATTAGATACTTAGAATTCGTAATGACTAAGAAACTTGGCATTCGAGGAGGTTATAAGTCCATTTTCATTTAAATTCATATTTATAGTCACAGCTCACTTGGCACGCTTAATCGTGCCTATTTTCAGAACATTTATATTTTTTAAATACTTTTGCGATAGGAAGAGAACAGAGCGAAATGAAATGACGTCCAAGCAGCAACAGAGATACAAGCGAAGTAAGCATCTATCCAGTATGGCAACTCACCAAAGAGGAAGGTTTCGGTTTACACAGGTTTCAATTCTCAGGTTCCGAAATAACTACCTCATCAGCATTACGCGGGCTTCGTGGCATAGATTAATCGAAAAATGACGCAGTCCAGAAACGTTATTATTATTTTTAAAGAGGAAATAACTAAATTAAAAAGAGGAATTAATGAGCTATTACTAAATTAAATTATAAAGCTGATTTACGTATATTTTATCTTACACACGCACATATATATATATATATCCCTTACACGGCTTAAAAGTCCATACCCGGACTTTATTTTTGTAATCGTTTGTCATAGACATATTTCTAATTACAGACGAAAATATTCATGTTTGGCAGTTGCAAATTAAAAATAATAATAACTTTGCGCAAATGACGAAATCAAATTTTTAATGCGGTCTCCCAATTCCTCTAGTTATATTTGGGAAAGTTTTATACTCATTATGAAAAAATAAAGAAGTTTGACCTTCGTATGAGGAAAACTGACTGGGATTTTTAATTTCAAAATTTACTATTTTTGATGCCGATCTCTCAAGGCACGTTGAAAAATTTGCCTTGAGAGTTCGGTTAAGTGAGTTAAAATATTTCGAGGAAATAATTTGAAATGAGTACAGCCAAAAGAATAAAAAATATGATTTAGTAGACGTAAAAAAAAATGTGGTAAGAATCTGACGAGATCCGACCTGCCTGGTCCCTTCGACCTTTTGATCATTGTGGATCTCATCTTTCATGCCATGAATGACCGCAGCCAGCGGTCCAGCCGTGCCCCAAAGAAAGTCAGGAATATTTAGGTTTTCTAAGCTCAGGTAAACCAAAGTAAGGAGCCGAGTAACAAAAGAGTAAGTATAAAGAAACATAAAATAATACGTACATTGTAGATTGCTAAGCAGAAAATCCACATCAGATTTTTTTTTACAATCAAAACCGGAATATGTTGCCAAAAAATCAAAAGTTATTGAGTGAATTCTGCGCGAGTCATGTGAAATGAGCATGGAATTTGAGACATCCATTAAACTATATAATAAATGTTTTCTTCTTTTACTTTATGAATTGTTTTATGAGTTTTAAATAAAAACTTATTTTAATTTTTTTATTATTATATAGATTGGATGAACAACTCTTGAAAACAGTTACAACTTTCACTACCACCCAGGAATGCAGAAGCTTGTAAAATTCATATTCTGTTAATTACGAAGTTGCCACTTGCGTAAGTTCTTTTCTTTCTTTCTCCGCCCTTTTTTTTACTTTTCTTACATATATTTACAAAATTAGCCGTTTCCAGTCTCCGAAATACAAGATTCATGTCATTTTGAAACCATATAACCTTCATAAATAATCTGCATTTTAATAACATTGCAATATTTTTCGGTGACAGTAAGTTTATTCTGGTTTGTTTGTTTTTTGTCGGAATAACAATTTTTGATGCCATTTTTACTCAGCAGTTCGAAAAGTGCTGTGTTTATGTTTAAACTTTATCTTTGTAAAGTTCCGCATTTAAAAAGAAAAATAAAATGCATAGTTACCGATCATCTTTGACTCTCCCTCCCCTTTTTTTTCTTAGTTTCAACTATAGCGCATGATATTTGAATGAAACTTTTGACACTAATTCATTTTTATTTTTGTTTTATAATCTCTTCTTTTGGCTTATGATAACTGACTGGTTTACAGCTGCAAGACTCTATTATGTATTTACTGTAGTCTTAGTTGCATATGGTGTTTGTTTAACGTTAAAGAAACTTTAGGCAAAATTAGTCTGAATTATAGCCAGAGAAGAGTAGCCTTAAGCGCCATCTAATCAAATTGAAATTTTCTGCGTATTTCATTGGTCAGTTTTGAATTTCCATTTAATTTTTTTTAGTAGTCATTTGTAGCGAAAAATATATTGCCATTACAGTGGAAAATTAGACAAAGTTTCAGCGCAATAAAACATCAAGTCTTTCTGTTTCTCTGTCCAATTTTCTTTGCCCGTCAAGACAATTATTTTTCTCGGAATCAGAAATGATATCTCCTGATTTTTTGTGACTGGTTAGTTGTCCTCTTCCTGATACAAGTTTTGGTATAAAATCGAAGATTCAGAAACTTAAAGCAAATTCTTACGCCGGTTTCCTTTGACGTAACAAGGTTTCGTGCTTAACAAAAAAGTACTTAAGCTGTATAAGTTGTAACTTTTACGCTATACTGTGAACGAACCATTAATGTACAAATAGAGTCGTAGTACTTTTGATTTAAAGTATGTAGTAAACTAAAAGGAATTCCACGTGGAACTCAAAATTAATCTGTATTTTGTTCCGTGTCCTGGCTATCATTATTCATTTATGTATTTCATCCAACAGGTTTCTATACTGAAGATGACAGATGAATCTCTGCTTTGAGAAACGGGATGTGTCATGAATTTCGTGGATGGATACCTCGAATGCCTTGCCGTATTTTACAGAAAAATGTTTGTGCTTTCCTCCTGCCCTTTGCAATAGTATCGCTTATTTTCTTGCTTCTATATTCGCCATCCCAATCCTACAAGACCAGTTACCCACTGAAGTCTGCTGTTGCTGAAGGACTAAAGCCTCAAAAGAACTTCACCATTCACGTATGGCGTCATGGAGAACGGATGAAGAGACGTTTCCTGAGGTCCTATGGCAAAATTGAAAGGAACCCTTTCGAGTTCTGCACAGTCAGTAACTGCCAACTCTCCACAAATGACAGTCTTGTTTATGGCAGCGACGCCGTTCTTTTCCACCTCCATCAGACCAAAGGACCGAAGACTCTTCCAGTGTATCACCCTCAGCACCAAATCTGGATATTCTTCACTGATGAGTCTCCATTGCACACATTCTTGGCCACTAAAATGTATAGCATGAAGGACTATAACGGGCTTTTCAACTGGAGCATGACATATCGCAGCGATTCCGACGTGCCAGTACCGTATGGCAGGACCGTAAAATTGACCGCGACAGAGATGGAACACTTCCAGGAAAAGAATTACGCTCTTTCAAAGACGCGGGGTGTTGCCATCCTCGGCAGTAATTGTGGTGGTCAAAATTATAGGTGGGATTATGTGGACGAATTGCAGAAGTACATACCTGTCGATATCTATGGTGGCTGCGGGACTCGTACGTGTCCAGGACACTTCACGAAAGACTGTTCCATCATTAGTGATTATAAATTTTACTTGGCATTCGAGAATTCGAATTGTAAGGAATACCTCACAGAAAAACTGTGGTGGAATGCATATCACAAAGACACAGTGCCCGTAGTGATGGGAGCACCAAAATCGGATTATGAACGGTTGTGTCCCCCTCATTCTTTCATCCATACAAGTGATTTTCAATCCCCATCTGATCTTGCGAAATATTTGGAGTTTTTAATGGAGAATGACTCTGCTTATAATTCTTACTTCGAGTGGAAAAAGCGTTACAAGGTTCTCAATGAGCATGGATATTTTAATTCGCCATCGTTACATCTGTGTCACATATGTGAGGCTTTGAATCACAAAGCTGGAGTGCCAAAGACTTATCAACATCTAGAATCCTTTTGGAATGCGAAAACGGATTGTTACGAAACTACATGGAAACCACAACTGTAACTTCTGTCTGAGTACATTCCAATTACCTCAGCAAGGCTGTTAGAACAGAGAGCTTCATTGTGTATTTATACATATGCAGTTAAAAAAAAATCGAAGAATCATATCACCATTGTTAAATCACTGAAACAGACCTATTCTTCTTAGCCAATCTGTATTTTCGAAAAATTTAAAGTGAATTATTTCTACTTCACTTTCGGCAAACATTTCGAAAGAAGAAGGGAATCTTCAGTGCACAGCTGTTTCATCAGTGTGTTTGAATCTTCAGTGTGCTGTTGATAAAAGAAGTGCATCTTCAGTGCATATCATCAAAAGTTTATTCGCTATTGCACTTTTTTTTTTCGGGGGATTAAATTTATTAAACATCAAAGTACACAATTGTATTTAAATATCAGTTGAAGTTTGAATTGTAGATGTGCAAACAGTAATTAAATTGTATATAATGTATGCTTGCTACAATATAACATTTCAATTAAAACTCCTGTACGAAGCTCATACCGGGAAATTCCATTGGAAAACCCTGCATTGACCATTTCTACATTTTGACTACTACTTTCCAGTTTTTCGTGTATTATTCTGTATTAGTTTTCCAATTGAATTTCCCGTTGCAGGATTGTTCCAAAATTAGGCCGATTGCTGCTAAACCAGCAAGACCTACCTAATATCTCATAATCCATTTTTTCCTCATAAAAACGAAGAAAGTTAATCTTATAGAAATCTCTGACTAAAATAAAGCAATACATAAAGTATTGCATTATCTTATCAGGGCCTTGTTTCTTTTTTCCTTAAATTTACATAATTTTGAATAATTGTAGTCGACGTGCCATTAAATACCAAAGGAAGAGCTTTAATACTGCAACTAACATCTCACGCTTCTAAATTCTTTATTAGTGTTAATTAGGAACATCGTTTTTTATCTGCGATAATGTTAAATATTTTCAAAATAAAAAAGAAGTAAATATATATTTTTTATGAAAATAGAAATAAATAAAGTGCCTTCATTTTGGCAACGTTCAGTACTCATGTGTTTGCTTAATAAAACGCTTTCTCATTTACTTTTCCTTGACTTCATCATACAAAGTAGTCATAAAATAGCGTTCCTTATAGATGAACCATCAACAACAATGTAGTTGTAACCGGTATGAGACTCGAAATGTAGGCGTTGAAAGCTGTGTGTTCCAGAATATTATGAATACCAGTAGAGCCGTCATAATTGTGGTTACAATTTCCAGTGACAATACGCACTTTTCGTATCATAATGTGAGCTACACAGCAAAAAACGATGAATGGCATTGGAATGGAGTCTATCGCTCGAAAAGTGTTGGTATGAGAGCCCTGGCAAAAATAAGAAGTAGGAGCGACAAACGACGGGAAAAAAAAAAAAAAAAAAAAAAGACACGCAATTGTGTGATTGCATATAATTTAGGGCAAGAAGTCGCAGATATTATTCACAAAACACAAATGGCTCAAGCAATCTTTGTTGTTGTTGCAAGTAGGGACCCGCGCTTTTGACTCTACCCTGGTCTAATAGCCGATTTTCTATTCTGTGTACTTTACGAACCAAAAGTGATGACATGGTCCATTCAAGAGGAATAAGCACACGTCGGTGACACATCAGAAGTGCTGTCTCACTCCCATGCTACGTTTTACATGCATTTACTAGGCTGCATTCGCTTTTCTTTTCTACACTTGTCGTTTTCACGGACGTTTTCGAACTAAGATACCATTCCAATGCCGTGTTTATCTATCATAAAAAGATACAATGAACATGGGAGTTACTTTCAAAATTTTTTCGCTGTGAACATGATAATGAGAATTTTCCTTTCAAATGGCGGGCACTAGCTTGCCAAAAGCAATGGTCATTATATTATGGGGGCACATATTAGGCGGCCACCGTTACCTTCTATAGAATGAGAACTAAGCTTCTGGCCTTCTGTTGTTATTCACATTATTCTCGTCTGCATATCTTACAACCTATACATCTCGAGTTTTATTCCTATTCAATGAATCTAAAGTGATAGCTAGGTGCTCATATAATGGAAAAATGACTTTATAACCACCCTGCAGATTATGCAAAATAGCCAAAGAAATTTTAAAATCCCCTGTTCCCTAAGACAGATTCTCGAAGACTAAATTTTAAACGAAAAGCATTAAGAGTTACTTTTTTTATGAAAAGGTATTTCTGAGTACCTGAAAGAAGTTTCATAAGCACTTGGCAAATATTAATGCCTTCGAACCTTCGTTCCATACGGAGAAAAGTTTTAATTGCCAATTTTTAACATTCAGAATTTCAAACTTTCACATTCCATTTTCGAAATTAGCTTGTAAACAGAGGAAAGAAAAGGAAAATATTCTTTTAAAAATGCCTGAATCATTTTATAGTGGACACATATTTTTAAACAGACTTTATTGCATGTTTCTTATTAAAATGTTTATGTAATTATATTGTAAATTATTTGTGGAGCGGTAGATTTTAATTCTTTAAGTGGCTGTTTGTTTCTCATTCTCTGAGAACTGTCGTTTATGGGAAAGGTGTAGCTGTCAAATGTAGTGTTGTATCATCAACTTGTGAAGCAGTAGTAGATTTCACCTCTTCCCCCGTACTTCCTTCGCCCTCTGGTGTTTCTGTTCTTAGCCATTTAACAAACTGTTGTAACACTGACTTGCATTCTTCTAATTTTCGTTTCGTTTACTTATATTTCTGTTTTGTGCACCCGACAATTTCGTAGACATTTTAAATTTAAAACTAAACAAAGATATTATTTTTAACACGTTGCCTGTACAAGTATTAAAACTATAAGAAGACACTGCAAATTGAACACATATTAGGCGGTTGTATATTAAAGGTTGTATCATCAACTTGTGAAGCAGTAGTAGATTTCACCTCTTCCCCCGTACTTCCTTCGCCCTCTGGTGTTTCTGTTCTTAGCCATTTAACAAACTGTTGTAATACTGACTTGCATTCTTCTAATTCTCGTTTCGTTTACTTATATTTCTGTTTTGTGCACCCGACAATTTCGTAGACATTTTAAATTTAAAACTAAACAAAGATATTATTTTTAACACGTTACCTGTACAAGTATTAAAACTATAAGAAGACACTGCAAATTGAACACTGACTATTAGTTATAAAGTGAATGCAAACACGTTACGCTATATCGGTTACTTAGTTGCCATTTTATCCCATATTCTCATTTTCTTTCCAATCAAACTTTTTACAGAAAATAATAAAAATTTTAAAATGCGTGGCATATGAAATTAATTATTAAAATCTTGTTATAAAACTAAAATGCTGTATTAAAAGGTACTAAAATAATCATTTAACAAATGCATAATAACCTAACATTGTAAATCACTTCACTATACAAATACAAAATAACAAAAATTCAACCGAGCAAAACTGACAGGGTTACCCAAGCATGTTCATTGCCTGTTAAAGAAATCGTCGAAATATTGCAGTCAAAAAATATTACTTGCATCCTTATCGTTTATCACAAACACATATACGCGAAAACATAAGAGACTGGGTATAGACATAGTGACTAAATTAATGTATTTAACACTGTTTTGGCCTCTTCCTACTGCAGTGATTTTTACCAGAGGGCGCAACGCACAAAGAGTTAATCGGCGCCCTAGAACGTTAAGGGAGCGGACACTAAGATATCACGCGTATTGCTGCTAATGATATAATGCACGTATCTGCCAGGTGGCAGAAAACTAGTATATTGTATTATGTACACTGAGCACTTCATATCTGGAAAGCGCGATTTAGGATATATATTTGATTTGTATATAGCTTTGTTCTAATGTAGGTATTTTGACACAAAATCGGACTTTTTCTGAAATTACATGCAATTTTTTTTTTCCTTATTTCGATTTTACGACTCAAATTATGCCTAAGTATTAAATTTTGTAAAATTTGGTGAGAAATTTACGGAGTAATTCAAAAATTTATATTGGCGTTTTTTTTTCAGTTTGCGCCAAGAACAATTTACTTGGCGAACTTCTTAATTTATGCAACATATTTTCCTTTCGCTTTTTACACTATGATCACAGTAAAAAAGTCACTTTGTTCCTAATTTCAAATAATTTTAACAAAGTGCGTAAACCACATTAGATGTTATTATCGCTTTCAAGAAATATGCCAAATTTTAAAACGCGCCAAAATATAAATTCACATATATCTTAAGAATTCTGAATTAAAAAACTCTTAATTTTTTTTGCAGGTATGCTAGAAATACATTTTCTTTAAGATGATGGTAAAAATTTTACAGGTTATAATACAAATATTTTTCGAAAAATTTATAAAAAATATTGAAAAATACAAAATTTTAGATATAAATTATAAAAAATGGATGAATTTTATTTGGAATGAACCTGAATTTCGAATTCTGAAGAAGGAATCAGGTAAGTTTAATAAAAGAAGAGATACTAATAAATATATATCAAATTCAATTAACATTGAGGAGCTAAAATGTTTAGAGCTAATTTTTTAAAAACTGCTTGTGCAATTTTCACAGAACTTGGCAGTTTGCCATAATTTGAGACCTAGAATCGAAATATGGAAAAAAATTGACATGTTATTTTAGAAAAAGTCCGATTTTGTGTCAAAATAACTATATTAGAACAATGCTATATATAAATCTAATACACATCCCAAGTCGCGCTTTCCAGAGATGGAAAAAGCAATTGAACTTCGTCAATCAGCGCAGTAGAACGGAAGATATAAAACTGTCCCCCCCTTTTTTTTTCGCAGTGTACATGCCAGGTGGCATAAAGCTTGTAAATAAATGTACAGTAAAATATCTCGGTGAAATTAATCAAGGAACACGCAAAGGCACATAGCAACAGAACACTACATTTTTTCTGGTGGTACCTGATTATGAAGAAAACTAGTGAGTTCTTTTTAAATGAAAAGCCGATATTTAATGCGAAGAAATTCGAGGTAGCCCTTTTCAGTTTTCCACTTTGAATATAATTGAATTGTTGAATAAAAAATTTATTACTTATTGATTATTATAATAGATAGAATTTAATGGTAACATGGAGGCTATGAAAAAGGCAAAGAAGTTTCGTACGGTGACGCGTAGCTTAACTACTAAATTGATCATTAAAATAAAATCTGTATTGTCGGAATATAATGAATCCGCAAATGAAAAATTAAAAGAATTACTTGAAATGTTGCTGAAAAATTCCAGTTATTCAAACATCATTTTGAGATGGAAAACCTCATAGTTACGGAAGTAATTTCCGCGCAAGAATATCAAGAAAGAATGATAAGTTTTAAATGTAAAATTCAAGAAAAACGTGTGTAAAGTTCTAGTGAGGAAAGTGTATTTGCGAAGTTTAAAACTTCTGAAATAAATACGTTAAAATGGTCGAAATTAACAATTACAAAATGTTATGGTGATCATTGTTCTTGGATTGAATTCTGGAATCAGTTTTGTAATTTCGTACATCAAAACGAAAATCTCAGCTCGGTTGACAAGTTTTGTTATTTAAAATCTCTGTTGGGAGGTTTGCCTTTCAATGATATCAGTGGATTACCATTTACTAGTGAAAACTATATGGAGGCTGTTGATATACTAAAACACCGTTTCGGCAAAGGTAACCTGCTATTAATGCACACATGAATAAATTGTTTAGAACCTGTAAAATATTCCGAAAATACGGTTGCTTTGAGGAAACTTTGTGACGATATAGAAATACAGATAAGTAATAATTCTTTAAATGTTACTAGCAGTTCTTATGAACATTTATTATCCCCTATTTTGTTAAAGTTAATACCTGAGAATTTAACTTTAGAGTTCACTAGAAAAAGAAGTGATAAACAAAATTTCGTAGTTAATGAACTGTTAGCGTTCTTGAAAACGGAAGTAGAATGCAGAGAAACATCATTGATGTTGGCGCGTTTTAAAAATTTTGATGTAAATGAACCATCATCACAAAACAAAAGTTCTCGTCAAGGTTATCAAAATAAATCTTTCATGCATTCTGCAAGAAATGATTACATTATGAA